ACTCGGATTTTGTATGATTTTTACATAAATGTCGATAGTTTTATTCCCATATTATAGAATTTTACGAAAGCTTTTTGGCTAAAGCTCCAGTATTGTGACATATCTATGTTAGTATCTGTAGAAAAAAATAAACCTCACTGTACTTCAGCACTACCGAGTGACCAAAGAACAAGCCAATTCGCGTATTACATGAAACTATTACTGATGGACAAAGAACCAGCCAACTGGCAGAGAGAAAATGCTTTTAAAAAACAAGGCACTTTAATCTTTCTCTCTTTTCACGTGGAGCGTCACCCGCCGCCCGCAACCTCGAAGCAATTGATTCTTGTTCCGGACTGTCGCAGAAAATGCATGCAACCCTAGGCTTGTTTTCCCTCCCTACAGTATCATAATTATTCTTTTTTATGTTTTTTTTAAGATTAGTTTGCAATATGTATCAAAAAGTGTTTTCCGATTCATTAATGTCCTCGTCACTTTGTATTTTTACATTTATTATAGTAAATAGTAAGTTTCATTACTTTGAATAAGAGTGTCTTTTATTTTGAATATAGCTATTTTTTAATACTGAATAAGAAAATCTATTCAGTGTTTAATGGTCTTTTTACTATTATGGTTAACCTTCTGGCCTACAACCCCCACCCCAAAAAAAACCGTGTGTCAAAAAGGACGGTTATTCGTTTGACACCGCTATTACTATAACTGCCTTCACTCCTCGGCAATGTAAATATTGCTAAGGAAAATATTTCCCTACAAGTTTCGACTCGCCCGTTGGGCGAAAGGCATAAAATACTGCTACATTAAGAGGAGTAGCGGGAGGAGCAGAAGCAGCAGTAGCCTTTGGTGAAAACAGCTAGTCATTCACGGATAAACATTATCTTCCCTAGTTTCTATTCTACATTATGTTTCTCTGTATCAAAAGGTAATAAACTTGTTAAATCAATTCCAGGAGGACTGATATTACGTAAAAATCCAGTAGTCCTATCTTTTTTCTAACGGTTTTTCTGTTTCTTACCATTTTATAAAGTTCGAATTGATTAGCAATTAGCCGATATTTTGCATTCCTTTCCCATAAATAATTTAATAAATAAATAAAGAGTTTTTATAACAGTGTTCATCTTGAAGTTTTCTTTTAGTTGATTAGTTAGTAAAAGCAATTAAACCGTTTAATATAAATCCTAAGGAATCCTGTCATTTTGTCTATCCTCGTGTGGGACGTTCGTAGTTTACATATATAACAATCTTCATGCGTTTTAAGTGTTGAAAGGTCATTGGATTCTGAATATTTTTCAGAATTTTCACCTTAAGATATTCGTCGAAATTACAGTCGCTCCAGATAAAATCGGCCGCAAGTTCTGTTGATGCGATGTTGTGTCGAACATCATAGCTGCGGCCATTAAATCTGTCTCCTTCTTCTCTTTGTTGTTGTTGTTGTTGTTGTTCTTCTTCTTCTTCTTCTTCTTCTTCTTATTATTATTATTATTATTATTATTATTATTTCTTCTATTGATTTCTGTTGTATACACATTTCCTTGCGGGTCCCAACCAGAGACCTAAGGTCAGAAATGGCTCCATGACATTTTCCATTGATTATTTGTGTAAAAATAAAAAAAATACAAAAACAAAAAAACAAACTGTTATGGAGTGGTTTCATAGTGGAGGCTTGTATTTGTACTAAGTCGGTCCTAAAATAGGTTCGACGTACAAAACGTTAGGAACTTGATATAATAGGTAATGACGCAGAGAAATCTAGTTGTGGTCACTGATACTTTAGTATCCGACTAACGGTCGTCCGACATTGACTGACTGACCGAACCACTGAACAGCTCCTACTACTCCTACAGGTGGGAGAGTCTATTAACAATAGAATAGGTGTGTTCCACTATAACACAAACCAAGCTCAACCGCATTTCAGACAGATAAAGCTCCTTTGTAATGTATGATCTGTACTTGAGTATATTTATTTTTATTTCTTTTAAGTCATGAGCTTCAATGAGTCTATGGGAGCCTTTTCCAAACAAACCAACGGCTTCAGTTTTTAGATTTCCACTTCAAGATCCTTGTATTTTGAAATATTTTTCAAAATCTTCAAAGATACATTACAATCTGCAGGCACTGCCATGCCAATAAGAAAGCATATTCTGTTCTTGTGGTCTTTAATCAAGATGTCTGGGCGATTAGCTTTGATTGTTCTCTCTCTGTATATTGTAAAGTCGCATAAGATTGTAACAGGTCCTATCTCTGTAACCGGGTTTGGGTGATCTTCATACCAGTTTCTTGGAATTTCTTTCCCGTAAAGGTTTCCCATTTTCCAGTTCAGATCTTGGCCCACTCTATCATGCCGAGTTTCATATTTTGTTAGTGCTAACACTGTGCATCCTGATACAAGATGGTCAATCGTTTCTGGATATTTATCACAGAATGTGCATTTCGGGTTGACACAATTTTATTATTATTATTATTATTATTATTATTATTATTCAATTTCTGCTACGATCACATTATATAACAAGTCTGCGGAAAGATCTAAGTCAGGTAGTGGTGTGTTGTTATGCCTACATTTCATGAATTGCTTTTCTTACTTCCATAACATCACTATTGTTACATGGAGAAAGTTCTTCTTAATGTGTGGGCTGTACTTCTCTTAAGCTGGGATTTTCAACGATTTTTTCAATGTGTTGTTGTAGTCCATTTTTTTATTATTCCAATTATTATTATTATTATTATTATTATTATTATTATTTCGTTTCCTCAATATTTGTATTTTCTCTTTTGCAATCTCAATGATTGCATTGTTGACAGCCTTGGCTTTGGAAACCTTTGCAATATCATTGGATGTTTCAGTCACTGGGCAAAAGAAATGAATTCGAGTAATTCCAGATTATTATTATTATTATTATTATTAGTTTACTGGTGTCGTCATAAAGTCATGGAAATATATTAACCACTTTTCACTTAGTGGCCATGTTCCGGTATAACCAACTGGTCGCTAAGTTTCAAGCTGTATCTAGCCGCCATTTCAGGTCACGTTTGTAGTGGCTGCGGGCAATTTTTGTTCCTGGCCCGGGTGTACGCGCTCGGTTCCCCACCTTCAAAAAGACCTTGTGTTACAACTCGTCTTAATAGGAATACTGACTGGTAGTTTTACTTTTGGCTTCGTATATTATATCATTTTATAGATAGTCGCAAGTCAGGGGATCGTTAAATAGGTAAGTCGTTAAATAAGAATTGTCTGTAATAAATGTTTCGATATCGTAGAAACTGCAATAACAAAAATACTATCTATATATCCGCAAGCTCAGAATAAGTCGAGAAAATAAACGAAATAAATTAGATTTATTTATTTATTGTTTACCAAGATTCGTTCTGTTCTTCATACATGTTGAGTTGTAAAGTTCACTCTCACTGAACAGTCAAAAGCACATCGGATCAGACGATTGTTTCCCCTAAAATAAGAGGAAACTGGTTCGAACCCTGTCAGAGGGCATTTCTTTTTTAAGATTATATAATTCATACTTTTTAAAAAATAAAAAAAGCATGGCGTTTACTTAAGCATGCGTATCCACTAAAATATATCATTATAATAATTCTGCTTTTCCCGCCATTAGTTCATTACTTAACACGTACTTTACGCCATGTCAGTACCATTTTAAATAAAGGTCTATTCCGTTTTGATTGCGAGGGAAGATTGAAAATACATATCAGAGACGCTGTTGGATTTTAGTGAAAGAAAGAGACGAATAAAAATACCGCATAAATAATGGACTGTTTACTTATGATCGCGAGGAAGGACGGAAAAGATATATCAGCGACGCTGTTGGATTTCAGTGAAAGAAAGAAAGAAAGTGACACCTGAAAATATTGCATAAATAATGGACTGTTCGCTTTTTATCGCGAGGAAAGACGGAAAAGACATATCAGAGACGCCGTTTGATTTCTAAGAAAGAAAGAAAGAAAGAAAGAAAGAAAGAAAGAAAACAAAATTTAAAAAGGAAAGCCGTAAAAATTTTCACGGATACTCTAGTTATATTATAATTCTGCTTGGTCTTTAGTTAAAAAGCACGTAATGTACTATACCGTTTTCATCGCGAGAAAATACGGAAAAGATATATTGGAGACGGAGTTTGCTTTCAGTGAGAGAAAAAAAGCAAGAATGAATGAACGAAACAAATAAAGAATGAATGAATGAATGAAAGAGAAAGAAAGAAAGAAAGAAAGAAAGAAAGAAAGGCGTTCAAATATATCAGTTGGCGACGAGGATGAGATCCAACTGATATGTCCCGGAAAGGAATATATTTGAACGCAGTAGCTAAGTGGTTTTGGCTACTATAACCAAGTAGAATACGGTAGCAGTAATCGACTGGTACGCGTCGTAGTCGTAGGTAAGAAGTGTAGATCAATGGCGTAGTCCAATGGGCGTCGTTCTCAGACTAAGGCTCTCTTGACTCTCCTACACGTCCGTCGGTATTTATGACGGACACCGGCCAATCATATTTCATTGAGGGGGAACACAGGTGTATGCATATTCCATTATATCAAAAAAGAAAATGGTTGAAAGCATAAAAATTACGTACACAATATTTAGATTTCAGCATTAAAAAAAACAATAAAGCCTTATATGCCACTAAACAAAACCAACCAACCAACACACTGGAGATATCAAAATCAAAGTACAAAAATTTACATATGTGGGAAGTGCTTTAGCAGAGGACGAAAAGTGTGACACTGAAAACCGAAGATAGCGAAAGATGCCTTCCAAAAGCTAGGAAAGTATTAAAAAAAAAAAAAAAACAGAAAGATATTGTTAGAAAAAAAGAACAGTCTACTGAAATTTAATGCAATATCAGTCCTCCTATAAGATAGTAAAGGATGAACCATCTCCTTACAGATGAAGAAGAGACTTGAAGCAACAGAAATCTGGCTCTACAGAAGGATGTTGAGAATACCATGATCCGAATATGTGAGGCAGGAAAAGGACATGTAAAGAAAGAAAATCTAGAGTGTTAAGAGAGAACTATTGATGAATAAAGAAGTTTTAAAAAATAATAATGAACTATAAATAAAAGAAGACGTTTGAGTGAACAATAGAAGGAAGGGAACATTGAACGATAGATGAAACTTGAGGTAAAGAAAGAAAGATCTATAAACGAGTAACGTTGTGTGAGTATAAGAGAAAGAGAGGAAGGAAAGGCGGAAGGAAAGAGCTAAACCCAAGCAGAAAATCGCTTCTTCTGCCAGATTTTTTAACCGTTTTATAGCTATGGCCTATCAACAGGTTGGAGGCTATTTGAAGACATAATATATTTTTAGCTTGTATGGATTTTGTTTTTCTAGGTAATAATGATTTAGCAATACACGTTTTACTAATTAGTCCATAACTGGCGGTAAGAAGACGCGGATTCATACCTTTTCGAAGAGTATTTGCACGTATGTGGATATAACGAACTCAACTAGAATTGGAACTAGGCTCTTTGATTAAAATATCCGAGCGATTATCCATTCCAATTGTTGCACATCCAAGCTTACAGAGGTCACATATCTACGTACTGACCAGGCTCGACGTTGCTTAACTTTGGTGATGGTAACGGAAACGGGGTTTTAACGTTATGTAGCTGTAAGCCTAAATCATTTTGTAACTCCGTCGATGCGAGATGGCTTTCTGAAATGTTGGATAAAAAGGTTGAAAATTTGGAACGAAGAAAATAAAAAAGGAAAATCTATGTCATTGAAAAGATGGAGAGAGAAGAGAGAGATGGGGGAAGGGAGAGAGAGAGAAGAGAGAGAAAAGAAATATATAATGAAAGAAAAATAAATTTGAGTGAAAAGGACAAGAGAAAGAGAATAAAGATTGGCAGGAAGAAACACCGAAATCTCCAAAATTATAGACACAATGGAAACAAAAAGGAGATTTAAAATCGGAGAGAGAAAGTTGAAATGTCGAGGTCACATAAAGAAGAAAGGCACGGTGGAGTAATGGAGGAATCGAAGAGCCGAGTTCGAATTCCAGTCGATTCCATAACATTCACTTACGTGCTAACACCCTTGGGAAAGATGTGAATCCTCTTTCTTCTCCCTCCAGCTATGGGTAAATAGCAGGACAGACTGGGTTCTATAGCCTTGGATGGCAACTGGTCTAGGAGAAGGAAAAATCTAAATTCAAACCTGCTCTTAGGGGAGGGTGAATGGAGTCTCTCTGAGCCTTGGTTGGCAATCCATTTAGTGTTGGTGTCACGATAAAAACACCCTTGATAGCCCTAGCGAAGCATCAAGAATTCAGCTATTTGACAAGATTATGAACTACACTAATCAAAGTATTAGTGAGTTCAATCTCGGCTGAGGCCGCAAGATGATGATGAAAGAGGGTTTGGATAATTTGATACTCACAGGATAGATTGAAGGTAAGAGAGACAGGGGAAAGCAACGCTCGAGCAACCCGGTGGAACTTAAATCAATGGATGGCGATAATAATAATAGAAAAAAAAACAGTTTATTAACAGCTACAAAGGATTGGAAAGCCATGATCGTAATTGTTCTGAAGAGACACGGTACATAGAGGAAGAAGTTGATTTCTCTACAATTCCTAAGCTAATAAATAAGCCTGATTCATATAGATCTTAGCAGATCAAAACGTATTTGATATTATGAATCATCGTTTAAATATGGAGCCAAAAATATTGGCAAAGTGGCAAAGAAACGTTTCAATCACGTAACGGAGATGCAAGCGAAGAGTGGCTAATAAAGAGACATGAATGCATTTGATTAGCCAAAAACTATCTATACAAATAGGTTATACGAATAGTGTAGAGAAAATGCACTTAAAACTAATGATTGGTTTCAGCTGCACAGTTTGGAAAACATCCCTTAAAATATGTTTAAGTGCCGGGTATTTGCACTGAAAGATAAAATACACATGCTGAACGTAGTTTTTAATATATGGGTGGCTATATATTGGCTTTGTTAACTTCGTCACAGTGTCATGTTTCGAGGAAAAGTAATTCCTATCGAAGCGTCACTGAAGTGGAGTAATGGATAGCGGCTCGGATTGAGAATTCAGAGAGCCGAGTTCGATTTCCAGTCGAATCATTCACTTACGTTCTATTACCCTTCTTCTCCCCTCAGCTATGGGTAAATAGCTGGATATATATATCACTTTAAGAGTTATTTTTAGTGTCTACTCATATTTGAGTAGACGCTTCGTTTTTTTCATTAAACAGTATATTTATTTATTTACATAAAATCTTATTAAAGGGAAAGATGCGCCCTCTGACAGGATTCGAACCTATGTTCCACTTTGCAGAAGAAACCGTCGCTATCTCCATATATATATATATATATATATATATATATATATATATATATATATATATATATATAATACACAGGAGAATCACAAATTGCCAGACATGAGTATAAATCTATTTCAACTAACGCGAAGTACGTTAGTCTTATTCAATTCCGATGTATAGCTACACCCGGCAAGATTCGAACCTGCGTCGCTCTTTGTAAGAGAAATCATCCTTAGCTCTAACATGTTATTGACCAACCACAGAGAAACAACTTTGTGAGCCAAAGTGTCCCGCTACCAGTTTGGCTAAGGGGTACCAGCCTGAGAAAGCAAGGTTAGAATTACCTATTTTAGGGAAGCAATCTTCTCCTACGGATTTCTACGAATCTATATCTAAGGACGGTTTCTTTTGCAAAGCGGGACACAGGTTCGAATCCTGTCAGAGGGCGCATCTTTTTCTTTTATAAGATTTGACGAATATTGTGGACGCTAGACAACCATAAATAAATATACTGTTTAATAAATAAACGATATCTACCTAAATAAGGGTATATCCTAAAAATAACGTTTAAAATATTAAAATCTGTAGGGTTAATAAAAAATGCATTTTTTACTTCTTTAGACAAACACACACACAAATATATATATATATATATTTATTTAAAAATATGATTCCATTGCTACATAAGAGTTCTCATGTTTCAAAACAAGAGCCGAAAACTCCAATATAATTATTTGAATTATATATATGCTCTACTTTTTTATCGAGCACTATTTTTTTAAAAATAATAACAAAAATACTAAAGAACTTTGGATTATTTACCTAACGAGTTATTTCCTATTTTCTATATATTTTTACACACACACACACACACACACACACACACACACACACACACACACACACACATATATATATATATATATATATATATATATATATTAATTTAAAGGAAAAAACAGACAACTTTAAGGTACCATTGTAATAATTTATTTCACCAGAGAATTTATTATTCTCTGGATCTTTAAACTTCACTTTCAAGTTTTATATATATATATATATTGATAAAAGAAAATGAACAGATTTGCTGTACAGTTTGTTCTTCGCTACTTACTCTACAAATGTGGCCATGTGCCAGTTTAGATTGGCAAAATTTACAACATTGTTTGACAGCCGTTCTTCGTTTCTATGCGTGTGTTAATAGTTTTGGTTGGCAGGAACAATGACGTCATTGTCACCAGGACCATATCGCATATACCGTCTTCGTGTTATGCTGACAGAAATGAAATCCACGGGCTTGTCTCCGGATTTCAATAGACCAGCAGTAATGCTAGTCATGTTTAGAATGTTATTTTTGTTTTAAATAATGCCATTTCCCTTGCAGACACAGCTTCATTTTCATCTTTAATACCTGGGAATTGCCATAACTCCTTGGAAGATGTAGTGGAATAGATTCCCGTTGCCTTTTCCACGGTTTTGTATTCAGAGATGTCCATCTTCTAGAGGGGTCGACTTACCATGGCAACATAGCCCAATCTAATTAGCCAGAACTAGAGGAGAAGTGTTGGGTTCATGCCTTTTTCAATAGATTTGAATTCGGTCCAATAGTCCTTATTACCATTATTATCCCCGGTAAAAATAATTCAGATATATCATATCTTTCGAAATGTTATTAGAGGAAATTGAAATATAGACATATGTAAATTGGGGCGCTTCGAAGTGTGTAGTGGTTAAAAAATGTTTTCTTGCCACGGTTTGAATTCAAAGTAGTCCGTCACCTAGACTGGCTATCATCGAAAGCAAAAGAATTGAGTCTACCCTGCTATTTAAACCATAGCTGGGGAGATATGTGATTCATGCTTTACAGAGATGAGAGCTATATTATTGTATAATTCACTATTGTACGAATGTAAAAAAAACGTTTTGAATTTTTAAATGTTTGAATTTATTGTATTATAATAAAATGTAAACTTACTTTTGGTTTCTCTGTCTGTATGTCTGTCAATCTATCTATCTCTTTCTCTCTCCCTCTAACACACGCAGACAGACACATGCAGTAATATTTTGACTTTAAAATGTTCTGTCAGTGTCATATTTCCCAAGCCTTCTTTCCTAGAAATTTCAACTGTCTCTTTCTAACGTTTAACATAATTGTGCTATTTTGCTTCTATTTTCTCCAATACTTCTTCATCATTGCTCATCCCGTGGTATTCTCAGCATCCTTCTGTATAACCACATTTCTCTTCCTTCAAGTCTCTTCTTCATCTGTACGGTGGTTGTCCAGCATTTATTGCCATTTAAGCAGGACCGATATTGCATAACAGTTTAGTACGCTTTTCTTAGTTTCTAACGAAATTGTCCTGTATAAAAAAAAATAAATAAAAAAAAAACGCCATGCAATTTATATCAGATATGATGATTTTTTTAAGCTTTGCTTAGATTTGGCACAAGACAGAAAATACGAAACACGTAGTGAAGATCGAACTAAGTTGAAATTATACTGATAATACCATGAACCGAACACGTGAATAACGAAGTTTTTGAGAAAATGGAAACAAAAAGGAGACTTATACTTAAAATCAGAAAGAGGCAGTTGGAATTTCTAGGGGACATAATCAGGAAAGAATGGTTGGAAAATTATATGCTTCCTGAGCAGGCTAGGGCGATAGTAAAACACACCACATAATCTAACTGGCCAGATTGAGTGAATGGATGTTTTTTGGGGGGCGGGGGGGGGTTGCAAAAAGAGAAAAAAATATTAAGGACAGCAAATTGTGGAGAGACATGATCACCAACGTCCCGAGGAAACTCGGCACATAGAAGAAGTTAGTACTAGTTAATAATACAGTAATGGGTTTCATTTATTTAACTCATATCTAAATCTAAATATACAGAATAATATTTTTTTTCTCTCTCAAACGCATCGGGCGGGAATTCTGTGTTAGTGGCATCATGCAATCGAAACATCAAGCATCTGACAAAGCCGGAAATGAAGGAAGAGCTTAATCATCTATCATATCTCAAACAATAATAATGTTGGACGCGCCAAAACTCTAATGACAAAAAAAAAAAAAAAATACAGTAACAACGTCTATCGACTCTAATAATCATCTTCGCGCCAATCAAATAGCGAATAAAATTATCATTTCCCGAATTTCTTCTCTTTTCCTTTAGCTTGCCTGTCAACAGTGGAATGATTTTAGCCTACCGATCGTCGCAAAAATTCTTGCAAAGTGTCAGAAAAACTCCCAGAGGCCATTAAGGCAGTACTTGTCACTTCCCTGACAGTTCAGGCTTTGATGCCAGAGTTTTCGATTTTCTTATATTTATTGTTCACATAAAATTTGTCTTTTGGAATGAGAGAAGACAAGGGAGATAAATCGCGTTGTCATGTTCCGAGCAGGAGATTAATGGTATATATATATATATATATATATATATATATATATATATATATATATATATATATATATATATATATATATATCAAATATGTGGTGCAGTTCAGTTTATATTACAATGAATCATTCATACAAAAAGTAAATTAGTAAAGTTAATGATATAAAATGGCGAAATCCCTTCACTAACAAAATTTTAAAGGTGCAATAAGCTACAAATCACTCGATGAATGTTATGATCCTTGTTTTTAAATTTATAAGCTGTATAAAGTATTTCTTTAATACGCAATAACACATTTAAAAAATATTTCGATTCCCATTATATTTTTTCGTCTCGGATGCTAGCTTAATTTTACCAAAAACAAAATAATTTCCATGCCTGAAGATGACTTAATGTACAGTCGAAAGTAGTTGCGTATTAATGAAAGAACTTATACAGCTTATAATTGTTAAAAACAAGAATCATAACATTCATCGAGTAATTTGTAGGTTAATGTACTATTAAAATTTTGTCATATATATATATATATATATATCCGATGCGATGAGAACGAAAGTATTATATAAATTCCAACGTTCACAGCATTAATCCAAAAGAGAGCTCGATACCGATAGTAGAGCGGTAATTATTCCTTTATTAGAATTTTATCATATAGACAAAACCATTTTACTCACTACAAAGATGCAACTTGGTTTCTATGCATTTCAACTGCACTTCGACAGGTGAGAATCGAAAATGGTTCGACGATCCGTTTAGGTGAAACCTGGGTTTGTCTGGCTTACTAGGTTTATCTATCTATCTATCTATCTATCTATCTATATATATATATATATATATATATATATATATATATATATATATATTGTTATACCGGAACATACCTATTCTATTGTAATAAACTCTCTCACACAGATTAAGTAGTAGTAGTAGTAGTAGTCATACATATATATATATATATATATATATATATATATATATATATATATATATGTTGTAGAGTAGTTTTCACATTGGAGGCTTGTATTTCACTAAGTCGGTCCTAAATTAGGTTCGACGTACAAAACGTTAGGAACTTGAAATAATAGTTAATGACGCAGCAATCTAGTTGTGGCGATGATACTTTAATGTCCGACATCGACTGACTCACCAACTCACTCTGAGCCCTCTGGCGACTGCTACTACTACTACTACTTATTATGTGTGAGAGAGTTTATTACAATAGAATAGGTATATTTCGGTATAACAATACATATATATGTGCGAACAAGCGAGCTATGATCGCTGCGGTAGAATGCCCTCTGCAGATTCGGGTCACTGCTCTTTGTTCCTCCTTGGAGCACACTGCTAGCTGAACGGTCATTTATATATATATATATATATATATATATATATATATATATTAAGACATGTCTCATTAAATAATTTAAACAAGTTTTGTTTACTTATTATATCATATTTACGGATAAATTTCTTATTATCCTTATTAAAGAAAGAAAGAAAGTTACCATGTTGATGCATATTCATTTTATTCAGAGTACTTTCGACTAACACAATGTCATCTTCAGAGTCTTTTTTCTCTAAGACAAAATTGTTGTGTTCATCCGAATATATATATATATATATATATATATATATATATATATATATATATATATATATATATATAAGTTATGAAAAACTTGGTAATCTGTATGGGTAGTCCCAAGGAGGATGAAATCCTGAGAGCTCAATGCAAATCCAGAGCTAATATTTTAAAGAAAAAGAGATCACATTAAGGTTCCATTCTAATAATTTATTTCACCAGAGCCCATTTAAAGG